AATTAATTAACTAATTATAGGGATATAAAGTGTAAATTTAAAATTATAATTTAAAAAAAAATCGGTTGAATGTCAGAGGGTGAGTGTATATGAGGGGGTGAGTGTATGTGAGGAGAGGAAGTGGTGAAAAAGTGAAAAAGTGAAAAAGTGAAAAGGATATATTGGTCATTTAGTATTTTAAGACTTTAAGACTTTTGCTAAATTTGCTTAATAAGATATACACATAGGGTTAAGTTCACGTGAGAGCAAAGGTTTTTCGTGAGACCCGTAAAATCAATTTATGTTCATTGATCAACTTTATAAGGTAATGATCTAATGGTCTAAAGTTACACGGTGACAATTTTGTGATTATTGAGAAGTCTTGTGACAATTTTGTGATTATGAATGTTCAGATTATAGATCTAATCTAAGTGTTGAGAATTGGTCTTACGGGTTTCGCGAAAAACCATTGGTCTCACATGATCCCAAGTCTTATAACATATAATATATATATATATATATATATATATATATATATATATATTTGGGATCATGTGAGACCAAGGGTTTTTCGCGAAACCCGTAAGACCAATTCTCAACACTTAGATTAGATCTATAATCTGAACATTCATAATCACAAAATTGCCACGAGACTTCTCAATAATCACAAAATTGTCACTTAGACCATTAGATCGTTAGCTTATAAAGTTGATCAATGAACATAAATTAGTCTTACGGATCTCACGAAAAACCCTTGGTCTCACATAAACCCAACCCTATGTTATAAATGATAAGAAGTAGTTAGGGTTTTATGAATCATTCAAAAAATCGCTTTCAGCCCCCGTAGTAGCAACAAATTGGCATGGCCAGAAGGATGTGAACCCTGCTCTCCTAAATGATGGAGAGTTGCATGTATTTCTACGGTGCTCATTTTTTTAATTATGAAGCATGGTCAAGCGATCGGACTCACATTGGACTCAGTGCCCAGGTGGTTTGGCCGACTATTCTGAATTTACAATACAATTTCAGTAATCATTTTCCATTTCAGTTGTAACTAAAATCAGAGTTTTTTTTTTAAATTAAAAAAGAAAAGGAAAAAGGGTTTTGAGATGTAGGTTGTAATATTGCACATGGAAAGTGGTCCCAAAGTGATACATAAGAAGTCAACAAAAGGTCACATGAAGGCATGTCCTTTGCTTTCCACTGTAATCCCAACATCCCAAACCTACCTTCCATCTTCCAAATTACATATATATACAATTTGCACACTAATACTTTGAAAAAAATTCAACATTTTGCTTGATTTATTTTCATTTACGTTAACATGAAAACTTTAACATACATAATACATTACGCTTATCTTAAATGAAAATGTTTATATAAATTAACAGATGTTGACATACCTCAACATGAGGCTTACAAAATTGATCCTAACGTAGAAATGCCCTCTTCACAAAAACAGCCACATGCTATTATCAACGGTCGTGATCGGTTTCCTACGGTTCTCACAAAATGTTAAAGTTATTACCCGAATCTAACACACACTCTCTCTCTCTCTCTCTCTCTCTCTCTCTATATATATATATATATATATATATAAAAGGTATATTTCAAATGCAACTCATCGCATTTGTATAACCAATGCAACCCAATCAATTAAAATATTTATAAAAATGATGAGAGTTCATTAATTATTATTTAAATATTTTTGAAATATGATTAAGGTTTATTAATTATGATCACTACTTTATATTAGAAAACAATCAAAACTTTTATGAAATCACATATTTATCAAATTAAATGAACGGTTGAGATTGTGTTGTACAAATGTAAATGGTTGCATAATAACTCACCTCTCTCTATACACACACACACACACATATATATATATATATATAGGGTTGGGTTCACGTGAAACAAGAATGTTTTCGTGAGAGACGTGAGACAACTTTCATTACACTTAAAATTTCACAGTAAAATGTTGTGAAGGTAAAAAGCCAAACCTTTATAGCAAAAACGTTGTGAATCACAATGTTTTGTTGTGAAATTTCAAGTGTAAAAAAGTTGTCTCACGTGTCTCACGAAAACAGCTTTGTCTCTCTCTCTCTCTCTCTCTCTATATATATATATATATATGTGTGTGTGTGTGTGTGTGTGTGTGTAGGGTTGCATTCCTATGAGAATGGAAGTTATGATGAGAAGAATAAGAAGAGATCTCCACCCTTCGATCAATCTTAACTAAAAATTAACACTTATGAAATACACCGAGATGCACCGCATCAACTCCCGTGAAAATTGCAGTTCATGGGATGGAGTGGAGGTGAGATAAAAGTGATTAAGTGTTCAGATCTCTTCTTACGTTTCTCATCTTAACTCATATCCTTAAATGATTCTTCATCTATATATGTATATGTAGATGAAGAATCATTTGAGAATATGATTTAAGATGAGAAACGTAAGAAGAGATCTGAACACTTAAAATCACTTTCAATACCATGCCCATCTATAAATTGCATTTTAGAAGCTAACAGATATGGTGCACCTCATTAGTGTTAACATTCAATTATGATCGATCCAATATTAGAGATCTCTTCTTACGCTTCACATCATAACTTTCCTTCTCATCAAAACTCAATCCGTATGTAAATATAGATATATAATTGTAGAGAATGGAACCATGAAAAGGAGGAGAAAATAATTGACGAATAGCATATGATGGAATCTTCTGGGATCAAGAAACCTGACCACATAAAATCTTTTTCAGTCTCTCTCTCTCTCTCTCTCTCTCTCTCTCTCTCTCTACTCATGTTAGTGACTGTGACTAGACTTTGCTCTTCTCATTTCACATTCTCTTCCCATACCAATCATTAAATATACATTTATTTCTTTAATCCATTTTTTTCTATTCTATTTAAATAATTAATATACATTTAAGTATTTTTCAAACCAAATGTTTGCATATCACTTCTATATGCATTTAAAGATCGTTTACCTGTAATAGTCACCATTCTCACTTATCTTAACGGATAAGATTCTTTACCATAAAAGGACATAACAGCTAAGAATCTATGTGTTAACCGAGTAAGAGTTGCCCGCTTTCACTTACTCGCTAAGATTCTCAGTCCTTATCCTACTCATACAGTAAGCGCTTACCCGGTTGACATTTGAAAAACGGTCTTCATTCTAGATATGTATGATTTGTGCATCTTTTCACGAACGGATTGCATGAAAAATCAATGGTATTCTACAGGAACTGAAGAAAAACAGGGTACTACTTTTTTGGGATGAAGATTAGACAGCTCCAAACCTTTTCTTGTGAACAAAATTACACCAATTTCCGATTATTGAGATGGTGACTTTCAAAAAGATGCAGTTAAACAGAAAAGAACGGAAAACCATGTACATTACAGAAGGGACCATTATGGGTGCAGACACAGCTGTGGTTGTTGCTAATTTGAGGCAGCAGCAGCAGCAGCAGGCACACTCATTCACTTGGATTTTCTATTTCCTATATTAATTAATTAATGACTAAACTACATTTTTTGCTAAAAATTACGACGTTGTCCCTGTGTTTTTAAAATTACACTTTTCGACCCTTGTGGTTTGCAATTCGTTGTTGTTTTCATCCTTTCGCTAACTCCCGTCAGTGGTTTTCCGTTACATGAGAGAAAACAACAATGAAATGGGAAAAAAACAATGAATTGCAAACCACATGGACAAAAAAAGCAATAAATTGTAAACCACATGGATGAAAACCGTAATTTCAAAAACACATGGACGAAAGTAGCAATTTTCAACAAACCACGGAGACGGAAAACGTACCTCACTCTATATTAATTAGAGTGATCAAGAAATTTCAACATTTACTTGTGTTTTTTACTTGTTTTCTTCTTAGCAAATGCTTTAGTTCTGCTTTCAGCTTCGTCTTCTTCATCGCTACTCCCATCATCTCTAACCTCAGATTCCTCTGCAGTTCTGGAAAGTTTTCGCTTTCCGGCATCTAACTGTGCACGTAACTTTCTTTCAACAGGATCATTTGACAATACAAGTGTCGGTTTCCGGGGAACCACTGCACCTATTCCAAGCCTGGAACAAATATTTGTCAAAAACGGATGGAATAAATAAATCCCAATTTTAGGCCTTGGTTATGTTTTTGTCTTCTATACTAGAGGAAAGCAAATTGTCCAACTACGTGAATTCCAAATTTGGTTTTATTGTTCATGCTATTATTAACGTATATGTGTGATTATTAATTGTAACATACATACAGTGGACACATTAACGAGCTATTGTTCCATTAAATCTCTCTTATTCGATCAGATTAATCCCCAAACAAATACGTTTTAGTGGATAACTTTGGGGGTATGGAATCATAATTTGTTTAAAACATGTATTTTCAAGCAAGGACCTTTGAATGTAAAATGTGAGTACTAACCCAGGAGGTCGAGCCTCTAAGACCACTCGAGTTGATTCATTATCTGTGGTTCTAGTCATGTTACTAACCCAGTTTTCAGCCTGCATAAGAAATTACACATCAGGGACGGTTGTGAGCATAAATTATATGAGTAAGCAGGATAGCAGATCATCAAGACATACAAATCTTGTTCCGGCTGCTAATTATTAACGGTTGTGAGCATAAAATATTTTTCCTAGGGCCGATATCCGATATATCGCTGATATATCGACGATATATCGCGATTTTTACAGCATAGGTAATTTCTATTCCTAAATAACTGGAGTTTAGTTTTGGATAGAATGGGCAACAAACAAATCACATATTCCTTTTAACAACAGGACTTATTTTGATAAGTTTATGACTTTCCTAGCAAAATACAACGAACTTCAAATCATTTAGAACTGCCATGACAAGCTGAAAACTAGAGCGTTTTTATACAAAATGAAATTACAATGGTATAATATGATCAAGCATATTTTTGTCACTTAACTATCATCTTCCACTTGTGACCTATGTTAGAATATGTGGAACCCCCGGATCACTCTCCAAAAGAGCCCTTGAGGAAAAATGGGAGGTTCAACATATATACAGGAAAAATGGTCCAAGTCTAGCCAATGTGGGACTCCAACAGCCTACATTGATTGAAGCAATCAAAACAGATTTTACCCTTGTTATATAATAAAACTCCACTTCATCAAATATTCTGATAGTTCACATAGTTCAATATTGTAGGTTGCATTCATCCCACCACATATTTCGATAACATATTTTCCTCCATCTCACATGTATACACATCCCGTTGTTGTATGAGGATCGAGGAGAAAGAGAAACTCTGAAATTGAGGCATCAAGGCACAATGGCTAAGCAAGAGTTTGGCAGGGAAGTATTCATGTGGAACTTTCCCCCATATTCTATAAATATCTTCAAGTGAGTTGAAGTGGTGAGTGGTGACCTTCCCTTACAAAGGAATAACCTTACTAGGTTCAAATGTCAACCCCTAGGCTGTTTCCACGACTCGAACCCTTGACCTTATGGGGACAAACGCATGCTACTAATTGTAGTGCATGTAAGAAAAAGGTTCATTTGATGAAGTTACACCATAACAACTATCAAACTATGTTAATCAAATACAATGATAGACAAAGATTACAAAAAAGACAACTACTAAAATATTGCAAAAATCTATCTTAGACGCTCCAGAGACGCAAAACATCTAACTCTATTTAACAGTATTGCATTCAAAGTAAGTTAAAAACAGAAATCATGCGAAAATATAAGATTATATTCTTGGATGGATAAATACACAGAGAGAACCAAAAGTGTACCAGTTTAAATGCTCGATTCAACTTCACTAATTCAGGACGGGCAATTTTCTTGGATGACTCCTCTGTAGTCATTGCAAATCAGCCTAAGCAATAAAAGTCCAAAATCAAACCAGAAGGTAAGCACTTGTAGTTTTAAAAACTAAGAGTCTGATGGTTGACAAAAAAGACAATTGCCATTTACTCAAATTAGTTAACAGTCCTTCAAATCAGATGACTGTTCCAAACGTTATTTGCGACCACACCTAAGTGCTATAATTGCTGTAATATAAAGAACAGGTGATACGTGTTGACCTAGCATGAAACTCATGTAAATGTAAACATCATCTGATCTCAATGTCCTTGATCGCTAATAAATAATAACAAAGAAATGTCATGTATTAAGCAAGTGGTTTCTGTGTAAACCGTTGGAGTTCTTGACCATATTTCCACCAAAACATTGTTTCTTTAAAAAAATCCATCTTGATGTGCGCTAACCTACTATCTGTCAAAAACATATACAGTAAAACGGATTCATTGCTTGTGTGAAGGAATCAACTTTGAGCAGATATATGTAATACATCAGTTTTAAATGTGCTAAAAGGACCAAAATCAGTGAAAGAGGGATTTTTCTAGTTCCCTGTAATGCCTAACAGTTCAAGTGGGCAGAAGTCAAGGACTTGAGAGTTAATACTTCCCCAGAAATCTTTCTAGGTGGGGCAGCAGACTGATAATAATAGGGATTTACTGAATTGCATATGAAGTACATGCAATAGATGGATGAGGAAAACCACCAGGGCGCACCAATTTGAGGAAAGAAGCAGGAGGCTGATGATCAAAACTATGTGGTGAGAAGAAATGGAGAACAAAGCAAACAAGGGAAGGGGGAGAGAACAGGTGAGAAGAAAGTGATGGATCTCCATTAGCATAACCCCATATGAATTTAAACAGCGGTTTTGTTGACCAAGTTGGCACAGCCTAAAAAACTTCAACATTCAACAAATACAAAGGCAGATGAAATCAAGACTTAAGAACACACAAAGACAACTTCGGGAGCATAGATGCCTCATATGTAAAGAAAACCATCATTTTAAGAAGCATAAATGATATATATTCTCTTCAATATTGGACGAATCCTTCTGAGATATTGATTTTAGTAGTTGGTCTCCAACCCTTAATTGGCAGATCGATTGGTTAAAATAAATGTTGGATGAACCTAGAAACATGGTTTATTTGATAAAGCATGACAGATTGACATTTAGCAGTAAAAAATGTGCTTGCAATCTAAACAAAATTGTATCATAAAGAGATGAACGAAGCTAAATCAGTATAAACAACCCATAGTTCAGGCACAAGTTCGAGTACCAGATAAAATTGTCATCCAGAAAAAATCTAAATTTTACTCCATAACTTTCGTTTTGTGTTATTCATAAAATGCTCTTAATGAGGTTATTTAGAAAAACTGAAGGAACTTTAAGGTGTAGTATTACTAAAATATCATTAATGGGTTTTAAGAAAACCCTGTCAAAATAAAATGGCCACAAAGTATCTTGAGGAGTTTCTTGATGTGAAACAATGAACAAGATTTGACTTTCCATGTTCTTGATACAACATATTGACCACAAATGGTGTTGAATTCATTAAATTCAGTGTTGAGGGATGCAGAGAGTACCCAATAATTGATTTATTTAGATGATATAAAATAATAACCGAGTGGTTTAACAAGCACCACAACACACTTTGGTATCCACTGAACCGCCTGAAATGACTTCCAAAGGCAGAGGAGACTAAGAAAAATTCTTAAATGCATTGGGAATAAGCGTGAGCGAACCCAATCTCTTTGAAATTTGAGGTAATGGGAAGAAATGATTCTATAGTTCCATTTGGTGCTTGTTGATATCGCATGTTTGATCTTCTTAAACTTTCATGTGTGCATGATATAGCGGTATATGAGCAAGCTGGAATGCACGTATATGCAATCTTTCAAGTTGTCAATTTATGATATTAGAACACAAATCATATACCTGCATGGCTGCGTTCTTGCTCATACATGTAAAAACCATTTACCCGGTGCCCCAACAAATGGATAGGCATATTTCGGAAAGAGAGGTGTCATGAAAGTAATAGCCCCTGATTGGGGGCCTAGAAAGAGCACAAAAGCAAAGATACTAGCGATAGAAGATAGTAAATGAAAAAAGATGTTAATTATGCAGACACCTTGGGCATACAAAAAAACATACCCCATCAACCCATTGATTCTTAGAGTGTTCTTGTGTTATTTTTCTTTCTTGGAACATTGACATCTTTCTAATTAGAAATATTACAACGGGTTCGATCATTATACTTTATTATGCTAAATTTAGTTTACCATATCATTGGTCCATCCAAGATGAGAATATAACATACCTATTTTTTAGGTAAACTTGAAACAATATGACTATCTCATTATACTCATCAACAATTTTTGTCTAGTAGGGCCTAACTATAGACTGCAGTTAGTAGAACCCAAAGGGTCCAATCATTATACGTGATTATGATGAATTAGGTTCAAATTAATTCTCACTTGGTCCATCCAGGATAATCATATAATATAACATACCTAAAATGCTAGACTAGAATTAATATTAATCTAACATCCAGTTATACCAGTCAACAGGGCCGATCCTGAGATTTTTGATGCCCACGGCGAAAAGTCCAAATGATGCCCAATTAAAAACATCCAAGTGTGGTAATTTACAATAGTCTAGCTTTTTCCTTCATAGACCGCGAGACCCATTAGTGTTTTTTGTTCATAAGTGTGATCTTATAGTTGAGTGTTTGCCTTAAAATAATATGTTAAGGTTTCTTTAATCAAGTTGTTAAAGCCTTTGCGTTTAAACACCAACTCATCTACTTGTCCAAAACCAAAATAAGGAGCATCATAACACTAACTCATCTACTTGTCCCATTTACTACATCTCACGTCTTCTATATAAACCAAAATCAACACTCGTACCTTCTCAATCCAACTCCAAACACTTAATTGGTTGGTTCTTCTTCAATTATTTACACTCTACAACATCAATGGCTCATTCCTAATTCACTAATTTTGTCCTCCTAGCTATTGCATGACTCCATTAGTCCATCATGTGTTTCATATAATCATATTTAAGGTCTTGACTAATGACAATCGTGAGTTTCATATGTAAAATTGCAAAGTTAAGGGAGAACAATCAAGTGAATTAGCTACTGCGCATTCAAGTGGGGGCAAATCATCACTTAACTACTGCACATTTATAGGTTTGTTCAACTATATTATAGCTGCTGAAATTGTGTTAATATGCATCAAAATCTAATGGGATTAGAACAAAAATCGGTAAATGATAACTTGAATATTAATTATAGCACGAAGAACTAAAACTTCAGAGATAGGCTTGATTGATTCGATGAACAACTAGATCAATTACTAACAATAGTATTCATTTGACTTTAAACAAACATAAAAAGTATAGAACTTATGCCATGAACAGCAAAACTTCAGTTGAAACCCATGAACATAAAAACTTACTTGTGCAGTTGAAAAGTCAATCTAAGGGAAATCAACAATGCAAGCTTCTGATAATTTCTGCAACAAATTACTTTCCTCTACCTCTTTTCCTGTACCTAGACTGGGATTAAAGAAATAAGGAATATTAATCTTACTACCAGGGTACAGATAAGTTTGATGACATACACAACAACTTACCATGAAATGCATAATGAACCTATTGTCGACAAGAAACAAGTTTTTATGGTTTTGGCTCTTGCTATGTAATGATTACAGTTTTAACATTTGGGTAAACCTAAACTAAACAAAATAAGTTAAATGATCATAACCTAAACTAAACAAGTAAACAAAATAACCCTAAATCCATAATTTAAACAAAAGATCAAATCTTCAAATAGCAATCTAAATTATCTAATCCTAATATAAGCTAAACTAAAGTCTAAACATGAAACATTCAAACATAAAGTGATCATAACAAACAAGAATTAGAAATCATAAAATAACCCTAATCTAAATAGATTAAAGTAAACAATAAACATTATACATAAAACATTAGAAATCAAAATCTAGAAGAACAGAAGTTTACCAATTTCACAGCCCTAATTTCTAAACAGTAAGTGAAAGTGACCAATTTCACAGCATCTGTTCATTATTAGGTTTTGCAATCAAACAAGAATTAGAAACTTAAAAAATAAAATAAGTAAAGTAAACAAGTAATTTCTGAAGACGTAAGTGAAAGTAAAGTAAGTAAGTAATTTCACATGCCCTAATTTCTAAACAGTAAGTCAAAGTAAAGTAAACATCCCTAAGTTAAGTTTCCCTAACCTCACAAGTCACAACAGTAGACAGTAGTCTGTTCTGTAGGGTGGAGAGATCGAGAGCGAAAGGCAGAGCCGCAGAGAGCGACGAGAGACGCCGGCAGGCAGCCGCAGACCGACGGGCGACGGCAGTCGGAGACCGGAGTCAATAGTCGAGACTCGAGAGAGGCAGTCAGGCAGAGAGAGAGAGCATTTGCCGTTTGCGATTGAGAGTGAGTGAGGTGTGAGCGACGAGCGAGGTAGGCGAGGCGAGAGTCGATGGACGTGCGTGGACTGCCTGGACTACTGTAACGGTAATTTTTGTTTAGGCCCAAATGAAAACTGAACCTATATATAATACATTGGGCTTTAGAAATTTGATGCCTTTGGGCTTCATGCTTGGGCCTATGGCCCTGATCATGACCATAAATACTACCCTCATAACATATTATGATGATAATTACTTGAAAACATTAGGGGTGTCTTTGGTGCGCTGGACAAGGTGGGACAGGACAGGACAGAACACGTTTGTCCTACGTTTGGTGTGGCTTAATATGGAACTAAGTAGAACTAGGTAGGACAAGGGTGGGACACGCGAGTTCTACCTTACCCCCCTAGAACTAAGTGGAACTCAAACATTTTTCCCTCATTACCCTTTTTCCCCTACATCGGCTGCTCCATCGTTCCTGCCTCCATCGCTTCCTTCATCAACGGCGACCATCGTCTGCGAGTTACGATCGGCGTTCTTCTCTTCTCCACTGTTCCAATCGACGGTAAGCTTCTCTTCTCTCCATATCCAATCGAGGTTTTTCACCTGCGTAATCGACGGTTGCTTCTCGATTAATAGTGTCTTCCCTTTGAATTCCCAACCTGTCCAGCATGTTTTCTGCAAGTATTGTTCAAAAATAATTCTTGAAATCTTTTTTTGTTATAAGCTTCTCAATGGTCGAAGGTTTGCAGAAAAAATAAACAAGCAAACCATACCTAGGGTGGTTTCTGTGATTTACTTTTGGTATTTTAGTAGGTTCAAGTTGATGCATCAACAACTTTTGTGACTTTAACTTGAGCAGCAATGGAGATGCATTTCTGTTTGCATTGGTAATCACAGTTGTTATGTGTTTGCAGAAAAATAAACAAGCAAACCATACCTAGGATGGAATTCCTATTCCCAATCTTTTACTTGGATGAGGCTTTGGTTCTCATTTTATACGGGATGCATGTACCAAACACTGCCCCTGCATCAATTTGTGTTTGAATTTTGGTTTCTGTGATTTACTTTTGGTAAATGTGTTTGATATTGTGGATGAAGATGATGAACCCACTGCCCCCTGATTTTGGTAAAGTTGCTACTTGATTTATGCTAGTGAGTTTTTAATTAAGATTGATTTTGGAAATTTTTTGGTATTTTTAAATAGTATTTGTAAGCATTTATTATATTGATTATTTAGTGAAAAAACACTAAACAGCTTACTGGAGGTAAATTGGTCATTTTAACCAGTTCTGTCATGTCCTGTCATGTCTTACCAAACGCTGAACAGCTGTCCTGTCCTGTCCTGTCATGTCATGTCATGTCCTGTCTGCGCACCAAACGCACCCTAGAGGTTTAATTATGTCAAAACACATCTAATTATTCTATTACCATTGATGATAAATCCAAAATAATATAAACAATATGGATTCAAATCAACCCCAAAAATATCCACAACTAATTTATCTCGATAATATAAAATAGTTTTGTCTCTGAGTTTGTCAAATTGTTGATTTCTCATGTCTGCTTGTATATAAAGTATTACCATATATTCCATATTGTTTAAAAAAGATAATAATCAGATTCACTAAATATGTAATAAAATAGTGAAAATTAAAATACATAAACTTATTTACTTTGCTCGTGGAATGTCTCATCAGAAATAACTTTAGCATAACGAGAACCATTTTACAGATGGTTTCATTGTTTCATCCGAGGTTGACTCAACCAAAAAAAAAATCATAAACTACCAACTCCAACACTTGTAATTATGTCTTCCAACTCCAAGTCTTTGAAAAAAGCTATCCAATGATGTCTTCCTATGTTCAAGGAGAAGTACAGTTTTTTGGCTCTTTTCCAAGGTTTGCCTCATAATTCAGGTTGATCGTCATGCAAATATGTACTGTATCATGGTTGGTTGGAACCATAGTTACTTTGAACTAATTGCCAAATAATCCATCCAAAATGATAGCGTCTTGTTCAATTATATCTGTAAACTTTTATCAACGCTTTTGAATTCCAAATATGACCTCTTCTATATGCTAATTTTATGCCTGATGAAACGTAAAAAGAATGTTTATGTAAAATATATTTAAGACAAAAAGTGAGCAATTTGGCATGCCTCACTATCAAGCCAACCATTACATTCTTGATGATTTCCAAAATTATCTTTTTCATACATAAATGCCATACGTATACGTAATGACATGCCACATCATTTACATTACCAACCTACTTATTAACGGTCTCACAAGAGCCACTTAGTATAAACAAGCTTCATCGCCATCAAAATATGAAGCATTTTCATTGTGTTTTTCGTTGGTTATCACAGACATTGGCCCAATAAATGAATCCATCTCGGATTCTAATAATGCAAAATTCGGATACATGTACCTCCCCAACTTAGATTGACTAAGAGCCTGTTTACTTATGACTTAATGAGCTTACTGGATAAATGGGCTTATTCGCACAGTCATTTTAGCCTGTTTACTTCGGGCTTATTCGGCCAGACACGGGCTTATTCGCCCAGATGAAAACCATATGTTGTCTACATTAAGCCAAGAAAAAGACATTCCCTACCCTTCATCCCATCCCATGCCTCTCTCCCTACAATCGCGCTCTCTCCCTGCCATCAACAAACGACCCCTGCCATCGACGCTCTCTCCCTACCATCAACGCTCTCATGTGTAGAACCCTAATCGGCCGATTTCAAATCGCAAAGGTAAGTACTTCTCTTCATCTATCGATTATTTTCTTTTAGAAATAAACCCTAGCTGCTCGATTGGAGCTCGATTATTGCTCTCTTGCTGCTAAATTGTTTCTCTATCGCTACTCGATTGCTGCTACTATATGATGTCATGTTCATCTATTCTATGATTTTCTATTGCTGCTGCTACTGGTTCATCTGTTTTCGATTGCTGCTTGTTACACACTGGAGGGTCAATAGACAAAATAGAAGTGCATTAGTTAAATTAGGTGGGTTGCAGTAGTAGAAGTATAACAGCAGCTTGTTTATTGCTTCTGTTACACACTGGACAAAATAGAAGTGCATTTTTTTATTGCTTCTGCTTGTTTATTGTTCTTGGTAAGCCTGTTTACTTCGGGTTGGTATAACAACAACCCAAATTTAATCCTCAGGGGTAAATTGGTTATTTCTGTTATTCAGACTGTTAATTCAGATAGAAAAGTAAACAGCAACCCAAATTTATCCAGAATGCCAAATTTATCCAGACAGACAAATTTATCCATACAGGACTTAATAGAAAATTTGGTAAACAGCCCCTAACTTTAATTCATCCTCCAACTTAAATTCTGATGACGCCAATTTTGATGCATGTACCTCCAAACTTAAATTCACCGACTTGTGAGGCCATTCTTCAACTTAACTTTAAAGTCATTCTCCAATTGGATTCTGAATATGTGAATTTCTTATCCATGTATCTATTTAGTTCACCGACCAAAAAAGGGTCCCTATAGTCACTTCGTTTGTTTGGCACGGCCTGGGTGGACTTGATATGTGTTGAACCCTCTGATGTTACAAATATGACCAGTGTCAACATTATGAGAACTAATTCTCTGAACAAAGGTTTCAATGGTCGCCTCGACATGGGAAGTTCCAGCCACGTGTACCTATGGATTGAGCATCTATAAAGCAATTATCATGTAGTGTTTAAATGTGCATTCCTAGGCAAATCACAAGTTACAACTTAAGTGGAATTATAACGTATGTTATTGTCTGTTATCATGTGTGCTTAATTGTGAATTAATTAAGTTTTTTCAGCATTGTCTCCTATTTTCTTATAGAGTTGATTACGGATTTGGTCTATGGTTTGGTGGTTCTTACAAAAAGGGTCCTTGAACTTCATTTATCATATTAGGATTCGTGGTATGTTGTTTTGTAACGAATTGGTCCATCACTCTAACGGCCATCCAATTCCTCCGTTAATGTTGAGGGCATTTTCGTCGTTTTTCTTTTTTAGTCTTTACTCAAGAGACCACTTTTAAGAAAATCATAATTATGTCTAAAAAAATTAATTTTTTTATACTTTAAGCTTATGAAAGTAATTAATTATTATACTTTAATATATATTAATTATTATACTTCAAGTTTAACTTTAGGATATAATATATTTTCTTTCAAAAAAATATATCTTACGTACGTGTACACATGCGCGCACACACATATATATATGTGTATATATATATATATATATACATACATGTATATAGACGAAGGATCGTGTGAGAATATGAGTTAAAGCGAGAAGTGTAAGAAGTGATTTGGACCCTTGATCTCTTTTAATCTCAAACCAACCCATTAATTGGGTTTTAGAAGGGAATTGATCCGATGCATCTCATTAATTTTGATTTAGTGTTTCTCTGCAATTATGATTGATCCAAGGGTGGAGATCTTCCTTACCCTTCTCACATAACTTTCATTCTCACAAAAACCCAACCGTATATATATATAGGGTCATGTCAGGGAAAATCGTAGAAAAATGAAAAATTGAGGAGCACCCTGGTAATGTTCATATGGACGGTATGCACATGTTCATACACGTGCATAAAAAGCAAAAAAACAACTTCAACTACTTGTATGCACATGTGCATACCATCCAGATAAACGTTGTCGAGGTATACTGTAGTTTTTCTTTTTTTTTAAGGTTTTCCCCTGAACCTCCCTCTATATATATGTATATACTTATTTGTATAGATATCTATAGTGAGGTTCAGTCGGAAGAAACCCGCCTCCATCAACCATTACATTAATTGATGCCACATATGTGATTAAATGGACGCCTAACAATATTTTTTAAATTTAAAGAAACCTCACCACTCTTATTTTTTATTCGGAAGAAAATGAAATAGAAACAAAAAACGAGCGAAATAAATTACACCATATTGATATTACTTTTCATCTGTTTTTTCGTATTTTCCGGTTTCTCATTTATTTAGCG